CAAAATGGAAAAAAAAATTATCCGTATGGACCGTATTATTCAACGTGAAATTCCTCGCACCAACGATACTTATAATTATTACATCCAAGAAAGTATTACTTTTTTAACCGTTACAATCAATACAGAATTGCTTAACCTGCAAAACATTAGAAAATAAAAACTGATATTTTTTTGTACTTGGGACTTAAATTTTTTTGCTATAACAGAATACGTTTTTTTAAAGTTCGAAAAAAATAGTACATTTTGCCGCTCGATAAGAAAGTATGACTTACGATTTTATTATTGACCTTAATGTTACAAATCGTATTTACTGCTATTTAGGAAAGTATTTTAACGTCATCCACGTGGAAATTGCTCCCGAGCTAAGCGCGGGGGGTACCAACCATGCGGAGGACAGTAAAATACTTTTCTATGGGCACTAAATGCGATTTACAGCAGTAAGGAAATGTTGTACCTTTTCCTTCTGGAATCAGTAGAAAAAGTCGTACTTTTAGCGGAGGAATGGAATAAAATAAATTTCTGCACTCTTTGAATCAACTTCAAATTTCCCGAAACGCATACATTTCACAATGAAAATTGCATTTTTGGTAGTCGGGACTCGTATTGATTCGCATTTGTGTGACTTGTATTTTTTTGCACTGATGGGACTTTTTTAGTGTACGAAACTTTTAATTTATGCTATCAAAAATTTTTAAATGCTCATCTCAATTTTCCGCTCTTTTATTCTACTGTAAAAGTCTTAGAATGCATAATTTAAATATTGGCAAAAAGAGTTTTTCTTTTGGAACTTACATTTTTAGCACTGATAGGACTTGTAGTTTTTTGCACAGTCAAAAAATCAGCTAACGATTTGGCATCAAATTCAGCTGGTTTTTATTAGCAGTGTGTCTATCCTTCTACTTTTATTAAAAGTAGTTTTTATGGGTATGCATAACTTTTTATTCGATCTGTATTTATGTATTTATGAATAATGTGTTTTTATGTATTGTCAAGTGTGTACACATTGATTATAAGTACATAACTTTTGTTCAGATGAAAAAAATAATTAGTGCTTCTTGTACATGTCCAATATACTTGTCTTCACTTGAATGTTGCGCGCGCATCCTAAGAATGTGTTTGCTCACAGTAGACATTTTATTCTTGTCAATCGCATACACAATGACCTTCTCTACAGAATATCTTGTAATATCACCAAATGCAAATATGTTAACTTGATGAAAGATTATGCTATATGATTACTAAAAAGCTTTTAATTTTTTTTTTGGTTCCTAGATTTGTAAGTTTAACGGTCTTCTGTAAGAGCCTACGAAACACATAAATTTTTCATTGATTCTTATTTAAAATATGGGTGATTTGATTAGCCATTTCGATTGGTGATTTCTTTCATATGTAAGTGCAATATCTTCCAATTTCGTTCATAATAAAGATACGTGGATTCCGTAACAAGCCATCTAAATATGCTTAAATCTTAACAAATAATTAATCTATCGATCGTTTTTATTAAACTGACTCTTTCGATATAGCTGCTCATTTCATTTGTATTAATAAAGTTGGCAACATTATACAATAAAACTTTATTTTCATTGGGTTACGAATTAGCGTTTGAAATTTTTTGCGGAAGTAAACATATGAATTTTCTTGACCAATTGTTGTTGAAGTTTTAGAAAAAGTAAAAAATATTTAATTAACGAAAAATAAATTTTCTAGATAACAATTAACAAAACAGAATAGAAAACCCAGAGCTACTTGTATAAGACGCTGATTGTTAGACAAGGATACATACATGATTTTACCGAATTTCAGAAATTTTTTCATGAAAAACGAAACGTACGATTAATTTTGTATATAATAAAAGTGGAAATTATTTAAGAAAATCCATAGTAATTAATTTTTAGGGCAAAGCTCCATAAGACTTCATTCCCAATTAATAAAGATCACCATTTATTTATATGAGAATAGATAATAAATAAGAAAATATGAACGGACTAATGACTATGTTATGGACTTTCTCGTCAGTTTATACTGAAAACTCCAATATTACTTAGTCAAACATTTTTTCCTTGGGCACACACACTGCTAAAGTTTTATCTAAAATCATGCACTTTTTTATGTAGATTCTCACCAATCGTAAACTTTTAATGCCTTTTCTACATTTCTACTTCCTTCTCTTTTAGAACTCCCTAAACTTTATAGATCGATTGCCTAGAATTATAAAAACTGTAACTATCCCTTATTAATAAAAATTATCACTTCTAAATTTGATGACTTTCGATTGATATTTAAACATAATATAATTTCAAATTTTATGGTTTTTCATCTTATCTCTTTATTTTACTATAGCTCTTAACGTTCAATCCAGTACAAATACTAGCCAATACATATGATGTAAATAATTTTGATTATGATAAAGACTGCTTGAACACACACACACACGCGCGCGCGCGCGCTCGCTCGTGGGACTTCGTGCGCTAACCCCCGACGTAAAAAGTAAAAAGTTTATTTTCGAAAATCTTGAATTACTTGAAATTCATTTATATTACTTTTATTGCATTCTTTTGGAATATTGAAAAACCGACAATGTAAAAATTTATTCATTTCAGTATTCCTTACCAAGTTTAAAAATGAATATTTAAAATTTGTATGTACATATTCTATTTTTATTAACATCATATTCAATAAAATATAATGAAATCTGCTCATGGTATTATTTTTCTTCAAAAAACACTCTCCTAAAAAGGAAAAGGTATACGTAATAATCTCACAGTAATTGATGGTTAAAACTGCTGATCTCTCAGATTTTACATCAAGTACAAGTTGCTGTCGAAATTGTGTATGATATTTCTTGTATACATTCACAGTGAAGACTGTTAAAATTGTTGAATAATCATGTTATTTGGTATACTTGTGCGAATTGATTTTGTAAGATGAGCATTTTATAAGATTATTTTAGGTTGCACGCGTAGTTCAAGTTTTGTGAAAGTAGATTGTTTCAAAAGAAGTAAGTTATATGTCACACGATTGCAGAAGCGGGTGTACCACTCGATGATTCAAGATCGCTGAGCTTTTACTTTTTATAATTTAAGAAATTGATTGTTATTAGAACTAAGTGAAGAGTTGCGATATGTGGACGAAGTGATAGGCGCCATAGGTGTCCATACTTGTATTAAATTTTCTTCAAGTTTTATTCTTTATTATGTATGATTGTAGAATATCAATTCGAAGAGGCTGTCAGAGAGACAGCGAAATATTAAATTATGTAATTTAATTATGAATAAATAGTCATGCTCCACATTACCAAGATTGAGTCTAAATATTATTTGACAACAATAGAGCAAGTAAAAGGAGTTTGCAGATATGTATAAGCTTTCTCTATATTATTGAGATCTAAAGGAAGTCTAGAAGTTTCAATAACGTAGGTATGTAGGTCCCAATCGAGGTCCCAATATATTGGTTTTTTGGCCCTCTCAAGATTAATAAAAAAGGCTGTAAGGGGACAAAAAAAGTGGTGTGAGAAGTCTGTGGGAGGACAAGAAAAATGATGTGGGGGGCTGTGATGGATTTTAGGAAAAAGTGAGATATGTTTATGTAACGGTGAAAACGGTCGAATTTTAGCTTATTTGTGGTGGACGGGGGGGGGCTGTTGGAGGATATGTGAAATACCCCACACAAATAACGATACAATATAGGGACATATATATGTATAGTTAACTTCAGTAATTTTCTCTGCTAATAATGTTAATGTTCATAACCAGATACGTGTCATTAAGCAAAGAGCCATCATAAATTGTGCTCTGAGCAGTGCTAAGCACTATTACCATACATAAACGCTATTTAAAGACGCTCAAACAACTAGCAGTTCTCTTTTCTCCGAATTTCCCGTTAAATGAAATAAAATATCCCTACATATGGCAAGTCCTCGGCTTGACCGTAACAATGTAACAAGACGGTTGCGAAAAATTTACTTGGTGCTTTTTTGGTATTATAAATTTTCTAATTTATAAATCCATGCAATACTTCAACTGTCAAATGAACCTTTTTTAACATTTTACATCTGAATCAAAGTTATATCTTACAATATCACCTCACGTCCATAAAAAATATAGTGCATTGTTAATATTTAAAGCGTTTTTTTTGCGTTTATCTTACAATTTTTTTGAATACTCTTTTGTTTATCTTACAATTTTTTAGTACAGAAAAGCAATAAAAGCATATAAACAGAAATTGATTTTAAAAAAAGCGATCTCCTACAATTACAAAAAAATTTAACAGGTGAATTTGTTAAGAAGTCAGCTATAGTTTACTGTTTATTGGAAGAAAAATTTTTTTTCGTGCAACACGAATACAGCCTGAGGTGCTTATTCCTAAAAATAAGTAGACCACCTTGAAAGTTTTCTCTTTGATGGATTGTGCACTGAAATAAACTTTCTATAAATGTAAAATGAATCATTCTTTTGATGATACACACCATATTAGAAAATAATCTAATTATATCGATGGGCAAGTAATCATGCAGGTAATTTAATATACTGACATTTTTTATCAAATACAAATTTGCCTAGGCAACTCATTTTTCAGTTAAAACTACTAATTTGTAGAAAAATTGTAATACGCAGCATAAGATTTGTTTGAAATTATCAGTGTATTTTCATAAGTTTAATTTAAATTAAGAAAAGAAACCTTACGTGACGGAGGGTGTAATAAACAAATTTAAGTAAATTAATAAAATTGAATAAAAATTTCATCATTTCAATGACTGGTCTTATTTAATTAGCAGGTATAAGTTTAGAAAGTTTTCATAAACTCGACTGTGGACCAGATATTTTATGAAACTCTTAAATTACGCAATCAAGCAATTCCCAGTGAAAAAAGTTTCATATAGTAGCTTTGATAGTATTTTTTAATATAATACTGGTAAGAAAATTGATTTCATATCATTTTACCTCACTTCTCCCTACGACTTATGAGAATAAACTTTTGTTATGTATTACACTAGTACTTACTTCAAATTATACTGATCGTAAGAGCAGAAGTTAAAAGATAAAGATGCAGCATCGAGTAAGCTGTAAGAATATCCACAAACGAATTCTGATGGAACTGAAGCGCCTCCTTGGAGCCAAGAGTCTAGAAAATACTGTATTTCAAGTGAATTCACTGAATCACTCATCATCTGAGAAAGTAAAATTATTGTACTATCTAATTTAACAGCGAGAGCATACAGGTATATATGAGAAGTCTCAAAATTTCCTTTGATATTAGAAATGATGTTATCCAGTACAATCATAGAGACAGTTGACTCAATGTTTATCAAATCAGACCATAAGCTTATCTGATAAGGATGCCAGTAAATGACAGAAAAGGGGAGGACTGCAATTTTTTGTATAGTATTTTTATACTGGTCACTCTCTTTAATAGTTATCATTGTATCAAAATCACTTAGTGCATCAGGGTTACTTTCATTATCAAGCGTTTCATAGAAATCCGGGTCATCCCACAGTTCATCATAATTAGAAATTGGTTCTTTTTTGTTCTCTTTTTTACATTTTTTTTTCGGAACAATACAGTCTATATTTTTGTACTTCATTAAATTCGTCTTTATGTCTCTTCTGTCTTGGTACACAAATAAATATAAATTGTGTAAATTTATTTCAGGCATTCTTTTGATTGCTTCAGTCCACACTAAATCTTTCCTCTTCTTTAACATTCCATTTTCATCGAAAATATCAAGGTCTTTGAGATTTTCAAAAATTGTTTCACATTTTACTCTTGCTGGTCTTGGCATTTTTTTTTTATTTCCATACAATTTTCGTACTCTTCTTTGACAAAATTGTACCCAAACTTAAGGAAAAACCTGTTTAAAGAATAAAAACATTGTGAAAAAACTTTTTTTTTTAAATTTAGCAATGTATTGGCACATTATATGAACATTTAAAGAAACTAGGATCCGTTTAGACAGTTTATCAAAAAAGTTAAAGACGTCAAGTAACTTTTATCAAGTCGCACGGGAGCGCGACGAGGTAAGTTTGAGAAAGCAGACGAAGCTTCGGTGACCACGCTACTATTTACGTCAGATTTGCATACTCAAATTTTCAATCATCGTAAAATGAGTATTTTTGCCGGTATGTCTGATGTTTTTTGATTCAATTAAGTCTTTTTATTTTTATTTCACAGCTTTACCGACAAATATAGGCCAGGAATTCGTTAGAACAACGAAAACGAGGAATGTGTAACTAAAAATGGTCAAAACAAAATTTTTTCAGGCTCAGTGTTCAAGAAATGGTCTTATCGTTAAGTTAGCTGCGAGCCAAATTTTTCCTGTGTATAATTGGCATAGGCGTGTTCTTAAAATTAAGCAGAGCTACCAACAGTGTGATGTCAGCTACAGGTACTTCTTAATTTTACAGTAGATAGCTTGCAGTGTTGGGAGTTCTCCATGTCTAACATGGTAGAGCGCTTGCTTTCCCTGGAGGGCTCAAGTTCAAGACTCGACTCCGTCACTTTCTCCCGGGTAACTCTGTGGTGTTTTTTATAAGACCAAATCACTAGGATATCGTATAAGTAGGCAACTGATTTAATGCCTTTTACAGTGGCATGCAGATTTTCAAATAATGGTCAAGAACACAGATGCTTCAGAAGAGGGGGGCGGATGCATGACTCTCTCGTAGTAAAATTGTCCCTTAAATAATCAATAATACCAATACTGTAATTAATTAACCAAATTTTCTTAAAAAATTACTATTTTATTAGGTAAAGAAAAATTGCCACTTGTCTTTACCGTTCCTCATAATTAATCAAGCCCACGTTTGGCGACATAATTTGGAGCTCGAAGATACAAGGAGGTAACGGACGAATTAAACATAACCTTATTTTTTATTTTCTTAACTGTGTGTCATGAGTCGAAGACGCAATCAAGAAACTAACTGATTTACTTATTGTTCAATAAAACATCAGCTTACAATAAATCGTGTAACACAGCTGTAGTAATGTCAACATAATCTGATCGATAAGAGAGAAAGTATTCTTTGTTATTGCAATATTCATTAATACTTTATTATTTCCCGGAGTGCCCCGAAAAGTAAGCTGTATACATAAGCATCATTTAACTCATCGATTTGGGTAGTTCATAATCACACATTATTAATGAACTTTTGAAGTAGTAGAAAAATAAGAAATTCTTTAATGAAAATAATTGTTTAAGTAACTTGTACACCATTTTAATAAATAATTATTTATTGTGAAAAATACTTAGTTATTAAATAACTGTGATTTGGAATGTTTTGATTTCATCAATACATAAGAAAGACATAATTATAAAAGCTATAGTTGAATAAATGACACATTTTAATTTTTTAGGCGTATAACCACTAAGTATTTTATCCAAAAATTTTGTTGGAAAGAGTTATTTAATTTATGTAATTAGTGTCAAGAAAACATTGCTGATAATTAGATGATGAAGTAGTTTGATAAAAGAAAAAAAAAGCATCATATATAATAATCCTGAAACTGTACTTTTTGAGAAAATTTATTCCGTTCGTTGAATTTATGAACTATGAGTACAAATTAATCTCTGCACACATTCATACATCCAAAACTTCTTCATATGAGTAATTGTAAGTGTTCACTTAGTGAAACCATTGTAGCTCACCGTAGCTACGTGGTACAGACTTCGTTTTTATCCAGTACTTTTTAATATGAGCAATATCTTATTTAATTAAGTTTCTTAAAATAAACATTGAAAAATGGTATTTTCTTAAAAAGTTACGATATCCACACAAAAATAGCTTTTAACAAAACTGAAATGTTAGGTAAGTTTGGTGTGTTGAGTTTACATCGACGCTCCGGATGAAGACTATTCCCTTTTTTGGGTCCCAGACGAAGACCATGCCCTTTTCCAGAGTTTAGACGAAAACTATGCCGTTTTTTCTATTTCGGACGAAAACTATGCCTTTTTTTTTGGTCCCGGACGAAGACTATGCCCTTTTTTTCGAGTCCAGGCGAAGACTATGCACTTTTCTCGCATCCAGACGAAAACTATGCCCTCTTTTGAAGTCCGGACGAAAACTATATCATTTGTTCCGAGTCTGGGCTAAAACTACACCCGTGTCTGGACGAAAACTAAGGTAAAAAATATTTAATATTATTTACTGACCCCTCTTGTGTTGTACTTTCCCTAAAACAAAAAAAACCTTTCAGATTTGCTGACTCATGATTTTGGCGGCTAACAGCTACTAGCACGCTGGAAAAAGCTTACGAAAACGAAGCTCTTAAAAACGATTCAACATTTTAAATTAAGGTTTCGCGATACTTGTATTAAAGTATCCACGGATGTCTTTGTAAAAAAACAACACGTATTCATTATTCTTAGCAGGTCTAGCGGCTTCAGTATTTGGAGTTTAAATAAGTGTTTGAAAAAAAAAGAGAATGAGCTTTTTTAAAAGATTGCGTAAAGTGAATATTATGAAAACTGTAGGCAACAACCACTATATAGATATATTTGGCTATATCTAATTACAAACACAAATGTAGGGTGAGCTTAAATGAATTTCACTTCATACGGGGTCCAGAAAAGGTCAACATCTCAGTTCAGACTCAGAGAAAATGGAATAATCTTCTCACAGATTAGAAAAAAGGGCATAGTTTTCGCTCGGACTACACAAAAGGGCATAGTCTTCGTCCAGACGCAATAAAAGGGCATAGTCTTCGTCCGAGATCCCAAAAGGGCATAGTTTTCGTCCGGACTAAACAAAAGGGCATAGTTTTCGTCTAAACTCCGGAAAAGGGTATAGTCTTCGTCCGGAATCCTAAAAGGGCATAGTTTTCGTTCGGACTAGAGTAAAGGGCATAGTTTTCGTCCGGACTTAAGAAAAGGGCATAGTTTTCGTCCAGACTTCGAAGTAGAGCATTGTCTTTGTCCGGGGTGTCGACATTTTGTAAGGAATTTCTGTAGCCTTTATACATTGGCATTTAATAGTATTCTTCCTGATCAATATATTGCATTGAAAAGTTTTGAAATCAAAACAGAAAGAACGAGAAAATTTTTTTTTTTGGTGCAACATACGTTTTGAATGAGAGTCGTAGTATATAACTGTTTAGTACTCGTACTTTGACTAAATCAATCTTAGTAACATTAACTTTTGACTAGTTATTCATACAAACCGCACATCAAATACAGTAATGTCTTTTTGTATCGAAAGTATGTGAAAACGTTTGGGCATTAGTTTAATCCATTTTATAAAAAAATTATATACAATAACAGTCAAAAATGAATATTACTTAGTTTGATTTTGTTACAGTACGAGTACTTAACAGTGTTATACTACGAGTGTCATATCGAGATATTTAAGCGTATGAAGAATATATAGATAACAAGATGGTAGAAGCAAAAATAAAAGGATCTAAATATAACAGTAGATACAAGGACTTGATGCCGGTGAAGAGGGAAAAATATCTAAGCAAACAGTGTAATGGGGTTAATATAAGTCAAGTAGCGCGAGCGCGTTGTGGAAATTCGGAAAGTGGTAACAAATGCTAGCTAAGTGACGAGGAATGAATGTGCAATCTATGTAAAGTTAAGGAGGAAAGGCTTGATCATTTGTTAAATAAGTGTGTGATAGTACAAGAAAAAAAATGTTAAGGGAGACCGATGATAAAAAAAAAGACATTAGAAAATAATGCTCTAATTTTTTCACATACTTTCGATATAAAAAGACAATGTGTTACGTCTGAACTTCTATAAGTGAAGGGCGGAACTCGTAGATTCGTTCTACAAACAAAAAAATTTAATTTTTGTTCGTCAGGAACCAGCCATCGGCCCGAAGGCCTTATTTGCTTTAACTTACAGTATACTTTTCTTTGAAATCGTTGTCTCGGCGTTGCAGCGTTACGTTTCACCGAGCGATATAAATGGAGTGGTGTACGCTGAGCTAGCGTTGACTTACTGTTAAAGTTTATGTCTTATGTCATACCGTAGAAGCATATCTTATTCGTCGTTTTATTTCGCGTCCTTGTAAAGGTCTTTGTCGTACAGTGTCTATTTCATTTTTCCTCGATAATCAATTTACTCATTAAGGTAAGAATTATGTGTCAATCAATTAGAATTATTAGATCTTGAAACGTTTCATATAATTTAGTAATTAAAATGTTTTTGAATTAAGAAAATTAATTTAATCAACAACCAAGTTATGTCTTATCTGATGATTTAATAAATTTAAAAAAGCCAGAAGTAGTTAATTTTACAAATGGTATAAATAATAAAGTTTCAGATTCGCATTTACAATAATATGTAATTTATAGTTTCCTTAACTTGACATCCTTCTATGATCGTTGGTTAGCCGCTGATTGCGCGCACGTACTCGCAAGATCTTACAAGGTTGACCGCAACGATGTTCTTAATCCTACACGAGAGCACTCGTGGCGATACAATAATAAGGCTTCTGCTTTTAACGTCGCAACCCAAGTCGACGGTTCTTTCTTTCTTGTTCCTCCTTGATTCACTTTTTAGGTGAGTTTACAGTGACCTGATTTGCTCGAGCTTTTCTTACACAGCTTAGTCACCGAACTAAGTCTTACATCCGCTTAAAATACGCAATAGAACTCACTCTCCAATTTTTATAGTTACTTTGAGCTCTTGATGAAAGAGAAAAGGCGAATATTGTTATATACGAGGAGTTTTTATACTCTTGCGTTTAAGGAGGACGCGTCAAGTTGGGGATCCGAACGACCAATCAGAGCTTAACCTAATTACCCTCGACTGACACGAGCACAGTCGTGGTACAATAATCTCACAGTAATTGATGGTTAAAACTGCTGATCTCTCGAATTTTACATCAAGTACAAGTTGCTGTCGAAATT